TGTTTGTAATATCATTAGTTTTCTTAGACTGCTTGGCTGCTAACTTCACAAATTTCAAAGCGTCAGAATGAGAAAAAAAGTTCAATATCTTAAAAAAGACCATTATATTAAAAATAAATCGTTGAATGGTATAGTATGTGCCACAGATGCATTTCTGACGATTATCATGTTTGTACTAATCTTAGGTTCTTTAGGCTGCCAACTTCACCCGCCAGAAAACCTAAAAGTTCAAAATCTTAAAAAGATATCATGATATAGAAAAAGGCGTGAAATGTTCTTAATAGGTGTTATCGATTCATTTCCGATGGTTTTCATGTTTGTAATATCCTGTGTGTTCACTAGGATGCCAGGCTGCTAGGCTGTTAACTTTACATTTTTCGAAGCGTCAGAATGAAAAAAGTGAAATATCTTAAAAATAAAGATCACAATATTGAAAAAAGCTCGAAATAGTATAAGTAAGCGCCTCAGGTGCATTTCCCACCTTTTTCATGTTTGTACTATTTTTAGTTTTTTGAGGGTGCTAGGCTCCCAACTTCACAAATTTCGAAGATCCGTCAGAAAAGACAAAAATAAAAGTCCAACATCTTACAAAAAAAATCATGATATTGTGAAAGGCGTGGAATGGTCTAAGTTAGTGCTACCGATTTATTTCCGACGATTTTCATGTTTGTAATATCGTTAGTTTTCTTTAGGCTGCCAGACTGCTAAGCTGCTAACTTCACAATTTTCAAAGCGTCAGAATAAAGAAAATAAAGTTCAACATTTTAAAAAATAAATATAACGATATTGAAAAAGGCGTGGAATGATCTAAGGAAGTTCTACTTATGCACTTTCGACCTTTTTCATGTCTGTACTATTCTAAGTTTTCTTTAGGTTGTTAGGCTGTAACTTCAGGCTGCTAGGCCTCCAACATCAAGAACATATGTAAATACTTATCACTTTGTACGAGTCCCACAAAACAACAAACGATGAAGAAAAAATACTCTTCACTTTTCACATTTTATAACATATTTTGTAAAATACTACTGTTCGCGAAATATGTTTAAAAACTGCCGTTATCACGATCCTTTGGCTTTGAAATAAAGAAATATTCTATCAAGTATAATATTATTCAAGAATACTATTGCAAGTGCATTTAAAAATATCTGATTTAAAGTATTGGATACAGCTTTTTGAATTAAAAAAAAAAAAAAAAAAAAAAAAAAAAAAAAAAAAAAAAAAATAATAAAAAACCTGAAAAATTAAACTTAAAAAAAGCAATCAACTTAACAATTACAGACCTCAACTGTTTGCGACAGGCCTACCTTATCGGATAAACGTGTTAAGATTAAAAGGTTTTTTCTGCAAGTACACAGTTCTGCTCTTGGTCAAGTAAAACGCGTGAAAAGACAGACTTGCCTTCATGCAGAAGAATGAAAACAATATGATTTATAAAAGAATTAAAAAGAAAGAAAAGATTGTATAAAAGATATTTGTTTGTTTAAGATGAAATTTAATTTCATCAGGTGAGCTTTGCACATTAAAATCAGTTTTCCCCACTGGTTGCCTCAATTTCAGACCTATTTCTCATAAATACATGAATATTATAGAAAATAAAATAGGTCAAAATATGAACGCTGAATGTCGATGATATTATTTATTTTAAACAAATATATGAATAATCGTTTGTTTTAATAAATTAAAATAAACAATTCTAGTAAATGAAAATGTCACACCATGCCGAGCTTTTCCGCGAAACGTCGGAAGTACATATAAGGCTATCTATCCTAAGTCATGTTAGCGGCTGCCCTTTTTAAAAGTTGTTAATTTCTCGCGAGTAAAGAATCAAATGTGTTTGAGTTTGCATTTCATTTAGATTTGATCATTTTACATATATTCACAAAGAAAAAAAAACATATTAAATAATTGCTGACAGATGTGTATGCATTCAAGAAGCGACTAGGACTTTTGAAAACATGGATCATTTTGAAAGACTGTCTAAAGAAAGCTGTGTTTGTGGCTGAAGACTGTCATAGCTTTAACTCATTGCCTCGTAGTATACTAAAATATGTCCAAATGCCATCAAGAGCAGTTTTGCAGTGGAAGGAAGTGAATGAAACGAAAAAAAAAGAGGCGATATTTGTTGGTCGGTAACTTTGAAATAAGTTTTATATTTATGTTTACGTTTAAAATTAAAGTTCTTTATCAATTTAGTTTTTTTTTGTAAACAGGCCTGATTATGTTGAAATTGTCAGCAAAAATAAAAGTGACGTACAACAACGGGGAAATCTCTTTTTTGATAAGTGTGAAATCATATTTTGATTATTTTCACTTAAAAACTAAAAAATATATTTTCACCAAAAAGCATATATAAAAATGTATATCATGAAATTTGTTTAAAGAAAAGTTTGAGACAAAGTTTAAACGACATATTGTTTATTGAGTGCACTAAGTTAACATTTTATCATCCCTTAAAATGATTCTTTAATAAAAAAAATTGGATACTTATCAATGTTTAGACACAGTTAAGATTTACTTAATCACATCATTTTTCAAAACTATGAAAAACAAGGCGTTAAAAGTGTACTTCTTTAGAGATATTTGCAGACCGAAAATTTTGTTACAAAATTAACCTTAGTTTTGCATGATCTTAAATCATGATAACAAGCGAGAATAGTAGGGGTAGCCATATTCATTAGCTATTGACCTGTCATTGAATACGATTTTTTGTATTTTTTTTCAGATCAAAAACAGATATCAAAACAGTATAACTAAATTGGTTTCTGCTTTCAGTTTATACTTTGTAAAATTGCATTGAATTTAATTGCGTTACCATAATACGTTTATATCATTTTTAAAGGAAATTATAATAAGTTTATGAAAGAAGTGTTTGTACAGTCACTCAAATGGAGGTAAACTACATGAAAAGCCGAAACGGTCAGGCTTTTTTTTGAAAAAAAAAAAAAAAAAAAAAAAACAACAAACTTTTCATACTAAAGGGAAGGTACTCCTAAATGAGGCCGATAACCAAAATGTTATTCGCTAAATGCTTTTGTTGTCATATTTTCAGATCATGCAAACCTTATACAATTTTCATTCTGCTTTGTAAAGTTGTGAATGAGTCAAGTGCATATTGACTCTCAGTAAATGTGGCCGTCAATTCCATCAAATATTACATTGACAAAAAAATGTTAAAAATAACACTTTGTCATAGACTTAGTGATTGACACAACATAACATTTACACTGGAGTTTAATTTCGACAAACCTACCCCATAAATAACATGGAGCATAGATTGAATATTGCTGAAACAAAGTTGTTGCGCAGCAAACACATCATTTTTTTTCTCAAAAAAGCCTTTGTTCGTTCAAAAGACTGTTCATGCATCTATCTGCAAATTACATATCAAACAATTACAATTTTCCATTATTCAGACCTAATACTCACTACGTACAAAAGCCGATTTATATTCTTTTTGAATACATAAAGCGATCACATTATTTCTTGTCTAAATTATTGAACAAAATACATGATCATGATGTACTAACAAATAAAAATCTAAATGTAGCAACTACATGTTTATATAAACTGTTCATTTCAATTTAAAAAGTATGTCTGATTTTTTTTATTTTACCCTTTCCAGTTGCAGAGGGAAAGTCACGTTTGCACATGTATACATTTAATCTTAGCTTTTTTACTGAAGCCTGTACGGCTATATGATTGATGTCTGCAATTTTCAAAATAATTGGTTAAATTTTCAAAAAGAATACTTCAAAAATACCTGTTTGAAAGAAATATATGAATGCAACATAACGAATGTATGGTGTATGCACAAAATAATTGCCAAACGGCTAATATTTTGTTCTGATACATTTTTTACATGTTTATCTACAATGACCGTACGTGTTAATCTATAATTTACTTCCTGTTTGACTTATAAGACGAAAGAGTATTAGGATAGGCTTCCTACTTCCTGGTTTACTTATAGGAAACATGCAGACTTAAACCAGACAGGTACATCATACATGAAAATGCAAAATAGATAAATAAATAAGTAAACAATCAAAAGTAAACTTATAGTATTTGCCTAATAACATTTAACATTTACTATTAAACATAGCACACAAATTAGAATTTTTTACTTCAAGACTAGTGTAGTATAGGAACACATTTAAATCGGTTGAAGTTTATTATAATTGTTTATTTAATATGACGTAAAATGATCTGCTAGTTCCTACTATATGAATTACGACACACAAAACTCTGGCTTATTTAAACAACAAAGAAGAACTAAAAGTAAAATTGACTCGATTTTTATCAATACGTTTTAGATACTATTATTTTTGCAAATTTGCAAAGTAATGCCAAATTTTGCTCATTTTTTGCTCTGAGGGCAATGTCTCAAAATCTGTGTAAGTTAATCAATTAAAACCTATATTCTTGCTACATTTTAAAATTGGAATGCATTTCTAAAGAGCAGGCAACTTAATTCTCAGCTATGTCCCTTTTTTTACTTTGATATTTATTGGTTTAATTTATTGTTTTTCTCAGGGACTCTTCTCAAAATGTACCAAAAATATTCACTTCAAATTTATATTTAATGAGTACTTGTTCACTATGCAATGTGAAATGCAGTTTTAAGGGTCTTGTTCCACTGCGTTTCTGTAAAAGAAGAGGGGGGGGGGGGTGTAAGTATCAGTGTCTTGACTTAAATATTTGTACCCAATTTTAGTCAATATCATATATTCTTTTAGAAGTCTAATAAAACATTTCAGATCGATAAAGCAGAAAGTTTACTGACAAATTGATAAAAATCTTTACAGTAAAGAAGACAATTGCAGCAATGATTCGATATTTTGAGTGACGGACGGCAATGCTAAATATGTCTTCAATATATGATAATTTGTTCTCGCTTATATTTAATGTCACTGTTTCATTTTTAAGATTTATTGATTCTGTGAAGTTTTCTTTTGCACATAGCAAAACGATTTAATCTTTGTGTGTATTTGAAAGGAACATACCTAATAAAATGACACCGACAAAGTTAGTGGGTGGTGCTATAGACCTCTGGGACAACATATTTAGGATATGCACTCTTCTTTGCACACGAAAATGATAAAAGACCCAATAAAAATACAAGCAAACCATTGGCTTGCTGGAAGACACATAATGTCACTCAAGGTAATCATCCCATAAATACAATGACAGACAATGAAATAACGCTTTCAAATATGTTGAATCACTTGTGATTTTACTGGAGTAAAAAGACAATATAAAGCAAGTTGGAACATCACATAATTGATAATAAAGATGCAGGTCAGTATCAGGAAATTTGACCGAATCGATATTTTTTATAAATTAACATGTCTATTATCTTCTAAAGTCGCGTGGTGACAGAAATCTTTGAATAACTACTACTCTGGGTTAAACATTTTATGGATCTATTTATCTTGATATGATGAACTGAATGTAACCACCATTCTACAGAACTTAGATTTAAATACCAGGGTCCTGTTACTGAATGTCATTCTACAAAATAGCATTTGAAATGTATAACAGTATTTCAGTTATAAGCTCAATCTTAAATAAAATTTTCTTTATTTGATCTTGACGGAATAATTCTCTAATCTCCAATCTTTGATTTGATAATATCATAGATATTTTTTACATTACTTTAATAATAATATAAGGCACCTGGTTTTACCTAATAATCCGATGCCAAAGATGATAATTGAAAATTGATGAGGAACAGATAAGGTTTGTGAAAGACTGAAAAATCCTAAGCTTTATACTTTTAGAATGTAAGAAAAATATTTCCAATATAAAATCAGCAGACTTAAGCAAACATTGTTTCGGTTGCATAGCTCACATGCATTGTGTATAAATAAAAGGAAACATAGACAGTTGGCAATTCTAGCGATGATTATTGTAAGTTTATGCATTGTCATAGACTTTAAATGTTGTTTCAGATAAGTGTCTTAAAGTTAACAGTTGTGGACGAGTGCGCTAACAATGTCTGAACAAAATACTTTCGAAACAATAAGAGAGCATTCAACATGAATAATTTTGTTTCTTTCCTCTTTTAATAAACATGTATACTGAAAATGATGTTCTTTTATCAGTATACGATACTTTCAATAAATTCTTACAATCATTTTGATGTTCAATTTCATAGATGGTATTGAAAAAACGAAATGCTGCTAATGTGTTTATACGGACTCCAATGTCGTGTCAATCCATGCAAAGCTGCGAATGGTCCATAAATAAGACAATGTGTATGTCCAAAACAAAAACAATTGATGGAAGTAATCAAAATAGAATCTGGATAGTCAAAAATTATAAAGCATGTTTGTCAAACCTGACCTGCAACTGTTCAATGTTTGCAGTTGTTTAAGTTGTGTGACATTCCAGATTTTCACTTATATATTTTCAGACCCCGACAACAGTGCTGAAAAGTCAAATTCATCCCGTTATTATTTTCAGTATTAAATCCTTAAAAGAGTCCGTTTAAATCACATGTAATTTTTACTTCAAAATGAATAAACTTTTGTGACAAAACATTATTGTATAACAAAAACAAGAATTTGAGATCGGCTCTAACTTCACACTCGTGTATTATTATCTTAATTATTTAACACCACAACGTTCTGCAGGTAGTTTATAAAGCTTTAAATATTGAATGACAATTTTTATTTCATAGGCAGGATTTCTCCCCTTAGCACTAGAACCTGAACATGCCTCTGTGTTTTTCAATTACATCTGATCGACTGAGGTTGAGAGGTTTAAGCGAGAAACAAGTTCGTCCCCTATTTTAAACGTATGTCTCTGAGATATAAGTTGTTTTTTTTTAGCAAGAATAGAATACACATTTACTCCAAACTAAAGGACATGTATACAATTTTCATCGAATACTGTTTGTATGCAGTAACGATGAAATGTTAATGATGGTGATTATAATTAATTATTAAATAAGTTTTTTTTAAATAATGGTCTGATTTTTTAACTCGTTGTGAATGTTACAAATGTGTAAATACGTTCGGTTAATGTGATAGTAATTTAAACAGTATGAGCATTGGAATTTTGGAATTTTATCACGCTTTTTAAGAAATTAAGAGCACACTGTTGGGTTTAGTACAAAGAGTTATTTTAAACAGATTATACTGCTTTTGAGAATTATACATTTAACATCTTCAGTAATTGTTGGATGAATCTTTTATATACCTAAGAAAATTGAGTAAGTAGAAAAAAATCCCTAATAAAAATAAGTACTCAAATGAATAGTTGACGATTACATTTCATCTTTTTAAAACGTCTAACAATTGTAATACAATGTATCTGGCTTTTATATCTTAATGTTAAATAACATACATGTATTTGATGACAGGGCAGTTAAACTTTACTCTAAACGAGATCATTATTTATTCAAACGCAGATTGAAAAAAGGACAAATTCTGATGCTGACGCTGCATATCTTTGTCATTGTATTGGCAAACATGTGTGTAGTCTTATGGTGAATATATTCTCAGGAATATAAATTACCCTTAATGATTTAATGATAAAATTAAATAAACACCTTTTCAGGTGAAACTGTTGATTTGACTGTTCATTTTGTAGAGTATGATGGAAGACATAGTAAAGTCGTCCATGCTAGTGGCGATGCATGGGGTGGTACTCATGTTGATGAAGCATATTTAAAATTCCTTTGAATGTTGAAAGTATTTGAAACAAAAAATACATAGAAATTAAAAAAATATGATCAGGTTCACTTTCGAAAATATATTAAAAAACGGCATACCTCTTGCTCAAAACGAATTGTCAGAACGTTTTGGATAAATGTTTAAAAAACACGAAGAAATACATGTTGAGGTAAACACCGTGAAAGAATTTTTTTCTGGATTTGTTCACAATTATAGGCAAACATGATAGGACAATTTGATAAGTAAACGAATTCAGAGAAATCGATACGTTATTGCTTGTAAGAGGATTAACTGAATCGAATATAGTTCAGGAGAGTGTAAAGGGAGCATTTCCAAATAAAAAAAATCATTGTACATATCGAAATGGATTAGCCGTTTTTAAATAGGGGAGGTCCTTTGGCCATAATCCCCTGGTTATTAAATCAAGAATAAGTAAATACGCTTATGGAATAGAGGTGATAAATTAGTTTATCGATAGAAGAAGCTCAGAGAAGTACAAACTTTTTGAAAACAGACTATTCAAATGCAAGGGTGATATTTGTCTATTTTTCGAGATTGTGAATAAGTTCCTGTTGGGTAGTCGTAGAGACTTTTGATGTGAAAGAAGGATTTGGAATATATGCGTCTACAGATAAATTTCAATAATGCTTTTGATGACAGCTCTTTTTGAATTGGGACAGAATATTTCGATAAACCTCTACAACAATTCTTCCTTGAAATACATTTTGGAGAGGCAGAAGTCTTTTAAAATTTATTATTGAGTCAGATGTAAATAAAACAGAGGTATTGAATATTAATGGACGTAGAAAAACGAAACTTTCAGTGAGGTGAGTGTTATTGCTCGCAGGATATAGTATGACTGTCTTTGACCATCTTTCAAAATATCATTATATATGACCCTTATATGAGCGAGTCACCTAGTTAAGATGACATAATTTTCTGAATCAACACAATTGTCAAAGTGTCTTTCATTTAGGTATTTACAGATATTTTTATAAGCCTGTTAGATAAAAACTATTTTCCATTTAATCATAGCTAGTGTGCATTTGCACGACTAATTATCGCAAGGACCGTGTTCTACACACACTTGGTAAGGTTGCGGTAAGAATACATTTTTTTAATGTTAAAATAACTTGATAGTAAATATATATGTTTATTTATTTTTTTTGCACATATTTCATCTGATTTGTTGTGAACATCTTTATATTTTACTTCTTTGTCGTCATGATTAGAAGTTTGTAAAATATCTATAATATAGTATTGATTATTTAAGATACATAATTATATTACAACAATTGCCACAAAAAATGGGTAGATGTTCGTTTTATCTCCTTAGTTTGTGTACTTGTTTTCACCATTTTCACGCTATAGTGTCAGTCATCTTCTGTAATTTATTTTAAACTGTGTTTGTTCATATATTTCATCATTTATGCTAGAAAATGTTAAACTTTGTTTTTGTGAAATAGTAAGAATAATAGTTTTTTCTTTTGTTTGATTGTATATGGTTTTATCATTACTTTATTCCCTTCTTGCAGTCTGCCTGTATGCACACTGCACTGAAAAGTGACTTATGCAACCGAAAGGAAGCTTTTCAATAGCGTCAAAACAAATACAACAAGGCATTGTGCAAACAATCCTGTGAAGTTTCAGTGAAATTCCTCAGCAATTTGGTGATAAAGCACGGACAAGCTTATTTTACTCGAAAATTAGCGAATAAGGGACTATAACTGTGCTAAAACCATTAAGTAGAAAATGAAGGGAGTATGCTCAATTAGGCTTTGCGACTGACAATCCTGTGAATTTTCACTGAAATCTCTAAGCGGTTTTCGTGATGAAGCGCGGATAAGCTTATTTTCTTCAAAAATTCACCATTAACCCTTTCGCTGCCAGAGGGTATCTGTTTTATTGTTAACCTATTTGCCAGAGGATTTTCTAAAAAATTACTATATTATTAATTTATATAATTATAATTATTTGTTATATGTATTATAATAATTATATATGTTTCCAAATCTGTTAGTATAATAATAATTATTGTCGATGGTATAATTTTCTTGTTATTATTATTATTAATTCATTATTATTACTATTGTTATTATAGAAACGGCTAAAGCTGTCCATATGGCAAACACGCTGAAAATAACAGGGACGGCTTAAGCCGTCCATATGGCAGTGAAAGGGTTAAGGAATCATAATTGTGCCAAAAGAATTCAAGCGTAAAGTCAAGAGAGTTTGTAGAACAAGGCATGGTGATAAACAATCCTGTGAAGTTTCACAAACCCCAGCGGTTTTGTTGATGTAGCATGGACATTTATTTACTAACAAAATATCCCATAACTGAGCAAAAATGTCAAGCAGATTATCAAGTAGGCATGGTAACAA